ATGCAATGTTCATTTCTATGCTCTTATTGTTTATAGATATAAACAATATCTTCCTGATATAGACCAATTTTCACCGCCATTTTTTTTTCACTCAAGGCTCAAAGAAGACTCAACGTAAAGGGTCATTAAGATGAGGAACAATAGTTAGAATATAAATAATGTATATTTTATTAAGCTGCATATTATGAGGACCTTTGGTATAGAGATCGTTTCATTCTGTCTAGTAAGAGGACAAATTTCAAAGAGGACACCAACCTTTCAGGATCGGTTCTTCATAATGTGTACAAATATAAGAATTATACGAATTGTTTTTTACTGAATCAAACGAAAAAATCAAAAAATTTAAAATCTTAGACGTTCTGTTTGAAGGTCTGTAAAAAAAAAACATGAGCTGGTGGGAGTTTTCTACAACTGTCGCATATTGAACATCTACCATTAATAGTGAAAAAGTAGGAAGAGGCTATCCTTTGTATTTCGTCCTTCGAGATATTTAATAGAATGTTTTCATAATTCCAATGTCGCGTAATGATCTTGTATTATCGATTCAAAGCAAGTCAGGACCGGTCAGCACCAGCCTAGATGACTGGATTTTCAATACTCAATTCTATATTGACAATAAATCTTGTAATGATAGAGCATGGCACATTAGCCATTTTTCAACCTTTGGTTAGCGCAGACTCTTTATAACCTCGCTAAACAAAAAAAAACCTTTTCGCCATTTCATTATTTTCATGAAAGATAATTCTTGATCGTCTGGCTATGTATTATCGTCTTTGTGAGACATTAAAAAAACTCCACTTTCATCACGAATCTGCCTCTTGTAATCATAGAGGAGATATATGCAATTCAGAAGCAGAGAGATAGGAACAGGCCATTTTACGCATTCTTGCAATCATCGTCCTGGGTAAGACGTTAAACTACATCCGCGTCCTGGGTAAGACGATAAACTATGTCCAACAGCAAGGCCTCTGATCAGGAGGTTTTGAGGAGCGTGGAACCGCCTCTTAATTGCTGGTGTTCCCAGGTTCACCCTGACCAGGGGTGGTAGCACCTGTTAGGGTCCCAACTATGGGCAAATAGTTAACTCAACCAGCAATACAAATTTTTTGAAAAAAATATTACCAACAATACAATTTGAAGGAAAATATTAAAAAAATTTTTTCATGAAAAAAAAAAATATCAACCAAAAAAAAAAAGTTGTCGGCATTAAATAACCCATTGAAGTTGATATGCCGTTAAACAAAATAAACCAAACCAATCCAAACCAAAGAATACATTCTATTCATACGAATCTAATAAAAATCTTGTCAGCATTAAATAACCCATTGAGGTTGATATGCCGTAAAATTAAAATAAACCAAACAAATCTAAACCAAAGAATACAGTATTCTATTCATACTGAATCTATCCTAAAAATGTTGTCGGCATTAAATAACCCATTGAGGTTGATATACCGTAAAAACAAAATAAACCAAACCAATCTAAACCAAAGAATACATATTCTATTCATACGAATCTATCCTAAAAATGTTGTCGGCATTAAATAACCCAGTTAGGCTGATATACCGTAAAACAAAATAAACCAAACCAAGCTTAGCAATGAATCATATTGAGGTCGAGTGTAAGTTTGAGGCTCAACAGTGTGTAGGAGTACAAGATAATAGTTGGCCCTAGTCTTGAACAGGCTAAGATTGTACTGATCGGGGGAAACACCAGTTTTGAGTCGGTTCCACATTAATGGTTCACACGGGGGAAAAGGTGCTACTATTCATCGATGGAATACGACATATTTTTCATATTTGGTATTAAGTGGCGTGGCGTGAGAACTCTGAGAGGCCTTTCCCCGGCGGCACCAGGGAATGTAGTTCGTTGAAACTTTCCGTAAAAAGTAACGATAGAACAGCGAAAGGCTTGCCACATCCCGCCTATGGAAGAGAGGTTGAACGGTGGAGAATAATTCGTCAAAAACAATAGCTTCAAAGATGCTTTTAAAATCTGTCAGGCTGAAGAGTGAGATCTATGCAGGTCCCACTCATATATGACTACAGTATTCCATTTTTTGGCCTGATCTGGCTCATATAAATAGAGATGATAGCAGGAGGAGTCAGGTACCTATTGAAGCGGTACAGAGAGTCAACCATTTTACTTGCATCCTTAGCAATGGATCTTATTAAGGTCGAGTGTAGGTTTGAGACCCAACAGTCTTTCAAGGCACGGTGTTTCCCCGAGAGGATTTCCGTTCATCTTGATTGGTAGGTAATTCAGGCTCAGGTCGGCGATGATTGAATGTAACTAGCCTTTGTCTTCGAGGTATTGAACGTAACCAGTCGAGTTTTATCCCATTGGGTAGTTTGCACAAGATCGGAATAGAGATTAGTCGCCAATCTCTGACCATCGAGAATTTTAGCGGTACAGATTGCGTAAAGGAATGAAACTGACAATGGTCGGTCACTGTACGCCAGAAATTTAATTACTAAATTTGTAAAGCTCCGCCATTTTA